GTTCTGAACAGCCGAGCTTTGCAGTGGAGAGGGTAAACTGTCCTGGAAAAGAGGGTAAAAACCAAGTCAAATATACTTTGAGGCCTGAGGTGTGAATGCCTGATTGGGTGTTATCATAAGGACACAGGGCAGGGTGAATGAAGAGAAGCTAACCTATCTGTTTGGTAACGCTCAGAGTGAAAATGGTAAGAGGAACAGTAATCTGATTATATACATAGCACTATTTATAGACAGACAAATGCCAATCACCTTCTTAAACAAGAAAATCTGCTGTAAAGAGATATATTTAGGCTGGTACAATGTCTGTTGGACAACACTTATCATATCTTACACATTCAAAGTGCAATAACATTATGATCATTAGTTTATGATTGTGGAAACGTGAAAGTCATTTATAAAGGGCTATTTTAAGTTTTTGTTTTTATTATTTAACATTAGCAGTATTATTTCAATACTTCGTATGTCTTAAATATGACAGTAGTAGTCATTATAATGGATGACTGCTGACAAATGTTTTATAGCTAATGTCCAAGGTAATGCCAATATCTATAATACAATTAAATGTGATGGGATGCAAACAAAATTATCTCTCATATACTGTATATTTAATAGGGCTGGGCGATAATTCGATAACGATAATTATCGCGATGTAATTTCTCGATAAAACAATATGAAGAGTTCGATATAATGTTTATGCGCCAAAAGGGGAACGAAACAGCGCGACTCATTTGAAGTGCGCCACTTGGACCGTTTATCCGCTCGGATCAAAGTTCAAACTACCTCGCGGCGTGAGCTCACTAGAGCAGATGCGTTTATTCGATCACGCGAGCACTAAACAGTGCTGAGAGATCCAGTGTGAAGCGCTTGAATTCAGCGATGAACACAAATGACTCAGTGAGTTAAACTAGTTTAAAGGGGTCATATGATGTTGCTAAAAAGAACATTATTTTGTACTGTTAATGCCGTGTCCCAGAGCAACGATTCAAAAACATTAAAACCCATTATAAACGAGGCATTTGTTGCATGCAGTGGGGACATAATTACGGATTCTAATGACTTATACTGTCTTTTTGCGCGTTGCATTGTTCCGCGCCGCGTAAACATAAAACCAATGTCTGCATTTGTGATCGGAGAAATGACAAACAACAAGCGCTACTCTACACTGCTCAAAACTCGTGTTTGAATC